CTAAGGCAGACGCTCAACCACTGAGCCACCCAGTGTCCCTCATTTATTATTCTTTTTAATTAATTAATTTATTTTTAGAGCGAGGCAAGGCAAGGCATTCTGCTGAGGGAGAGAGAGAGAATCTTGAGCAGACTCTTGGCTGAGCATGGATCCCTCCACAGGGCTTGATCTCATGATCCTGGGATCCTGACCTGAGCTGAAATCAAGAGTCCGACACTCAACTGACTGAGCCACCAAGGTGCCCATTATTATAATTTCCAAAACATATCACAAATCAGTGGTACTGATCACCTCAATCTTTTGCGTCTATGTGTACTGACGGTGGGCGGGAGCTGGGGGGTGGCAAATAAGACTGATTTTATAAGCATTTGGCCCAAAGTTTTGTCGTATCCTATTTTTAGGTCCTCAGTGCCACCAGCTTCTCTGGCACAAATTCAACTGCCATTTTAGGGTCAAGACCACATTTGACCACATTACCTCTTGGGCAACTTCCTGTTCACATGATAGTTTCTAGGGGTGGTTTTATTCTCCCTGTCTTAGCATTTTTAATGGCATAGAGTCAAGGATTTCCAAACTGTTGCTAAAGGTGGATTTTAACTGGCAGCTATTAATTCTGAAAGTGCTAATGGTTGCAACAGAGTTAAGAGCTGAAACTTAAAACAATCATGCTTTCTGTTGGTTCAGGACCCTCCCATAAAAGCTCAGAAGGGATCTGGGGAGCAGATGCGCACAGGCTGGGTAGAGAGCGCGGAGTTAAACCCTGCTGGTGGTTTTGGTTTAGAATTTAGATTTTACTTTCACTATTACTAGGCAGGATCAACTGACATCAAATATAAGACAAAATATGCCTAGCAGGTTGTCAAGAACAAGACCAGCACTGAAAAAAATCGAGGCTTAAGCAGATACATATACATATCTATTGTCAGTAGAAACCCTATGAGTTAAAGGGCTCACATTCTGAAGCCTGAAGTCAAATACAAATTACTGTATACCAAAATACAGTACAAAAAACTGAAACTGTAAAAAAACTCATGCTTTCAACATTTAATACCAGGCTGTGGGCCAGGTGTTGACATAGAGATGAATAAAGATATAGTAGTGAAACAAAAATGTAAAGAGATAAATGGCAGCACATCATGGTACGTGCCATGGGAGCACAAGGAAGGAGAGCGCTTGTCTGGAGCCTACAGAAGCTTCAGAGAGAAATCGATTTTTGAAATATGCCTTCAAAGAATGCTATAGCCCAGCCTGCGTTTTCTCGAAGCTAACAGAAAAATATAATTACCATTTCCATACACCCCACCATAGGGGTTGCAGATATTCTTTCTAAGTCTCACTAGAACCTTAAAAAAAGTAGGTACTGATTCTAATAGACAGATGGAGAAACTGGGGTTCAAAGATTAAGAAGCTCAGGGTCTCATAGATAGTAAGGCCTACACCGAGGATTTGAGCCCAGATCTGTATCATTCCAAATCCCTTACCTTGGCCCTACACTGCCCAGAAAGATCTATTTCAGCTCCCTATGTCCAAGGAGTACATGGTTAACTTGTAGCCATGTGGAGTCTGGGTGTGAGAACTCACCCTGAAAGCCCATTGAGAATGTCAAATTTTGTTCTAAAGAATTGGGTGAGTGAAAGGTGAAGATGGTGGCTCTGTATACATGGTTCACCTGGGCTACCATGCCCTCTCCTTTCTCTGAAATGCAATCACATTTAGTTCAAAATGGTTTATCTTGATTCATGGGCTGCCAGATTCCCTCTCTCAAGCTCTGTGAACATCTTGAGGTCAGGGAATAAGCCTTATACAGTAGGTTTTGCTTTCCATGGTTTCAGATACCCATAGTCAACTGTGGTCCAGAAGGAGGTGATCCTTCTTGTGACAAACTGTCAGGAGGTTAATAGTAGCCTAGCATTACATCACAAAGCCTACATCATTCACCTCACTTTATCTCATCATGTAGGTGTTTTATCACCTCACATCATCGCAAAAAGAAGAAGGGGGGTACAATACAATATGATCCTTTGAGAGAAAGAGACCGTACTTACATTACTTTATTATAGTATGCTGTTATAATTGTTCTATTATTGCTGATTTCTTACTGTGCCTAATTTATAAATAAAACTTTATTATAGGTATGTATGTACAGAGAAAAACATAGCATATATAGGGGTTTGGTACAATCTACAGACTCAGCCATCCACTGGGTGTACTGCTGCATATTCCCCACAGGTCAGGGGGTCTACTGTGCTTCTTTGAGACCCTCAGAGTCCAGCACTCACAGGAGGTGGCTGATTGATTGTGGATTCACCCGGTGGTATTCTGAGGGCTTCGTAAGTGTGGATGTTAAGTTAGGTTGCCTGAAGTGAGGTGACGAGAATTAGAGGTTACACACTCTAAAATAAGAAAAAGGTGACCCAAGCAGTACAACATAGTGCCTCTCAGACTTTAGAGTGCATGTGAATCACATGACTACATGTAACCCTACCCAATACGCCCTAGTAAAAAACAGGTAAAGAGTAGACAAACGTAATCAAGCATCTGGGGGAGGCAGGAGACTCAATTTTCAGGGTTCATATCCCATTTCCAAACCTTGTTACCATTCCCGGTCCTTTTGTTTTTAGGTCTATGAAGAGTATAGTAAGTACATAACAGTTACCATCTATTGCGTACGCATAAAGCGCTTGGTACTATTCTTGCTGCTTTAAGCATGTTATCTAATTCGCACAGCCCCCTAGAGTACTATCCTTATATTGCTGATGATGGGAAAATAAAATAAAATTAGCAGTCACTCCCTTACATTTACACAGGAAGAGTAGGGATTTATTCTTGGCTCACCTGAGTCCAAAGTCTAGCATGGAATAATAGTTCCTTGCCAGTGAGTAATAAAAGAGCATTTCGGGGATGTGTAAGCTTGAAAGCTTGAGGTCAGGGTGACAATGGTACAGAAGGATAGAGATGCTCAGAAAGCACTCGCAGAACAAAGCCCTCGATGGGAGGCTCGTGCCCTTAGTATTTGCTTCATTGAGCATTTTAATCCAGGTAAAGTATTTGAGAGCTGGCTCTACCTTAGATAGCATCTGGTAGCTTGCAAGGTGCTCAGAATTTTAGCAAATTGCTGAGGCCAGCCTCTGCTCTTCCCCACGAACTCTTCAGGAATTTTTCCACCTGCTATCTAGGGAGAAAGGCCCCACCCTACATTTCCATGCGGCTCTAGGTTCATCAAGGCCGGCGTTAGAGTCCTCTCCTGAAGCCTAAGAGGGTTTAAGGTTGACTTGCACAATAGTACTCGGCTTGAAACAAAGGTCGTAGTGGGCCCTGCACAAGCAGGGGAAAAGCAGTTAAAAGCTTAAGAGGACAATTTCTGGGCACATTTTCTTTTCATTTCGACTTGGAGCTAGAAATGGGGTTAGAGGAGGTGCCTGCTTTCTGGAGGCTTGCTGTGCGAGAACAAATCACCTGGTGAGAGACGATTAGGGTACAGCAGCCTTTTCCCGAAGGCCAGGACAGGGTGCTAGGTGAACTGGGGGTTCTCTTGGCATCACTAGCACCGCTAAGCATCCCAGCCGACGTTATACAGGTTGGTAGTCGTGTCTGCACGTTCTTCACGGGGCACAAGACCTTCCCCACAGAGAGCTGTCAGCTTTCAAGACAGTTTGCTTCCTCAACCTGAAATTGGGTCGGAGACTACGGAGGAGAAAAACACGCTTGGTTCAGGTCCCGCGAGGGAGCTCCCCGCCCCCCCCGCCCCCCAAGCTATTGACAACAGGTGGTTGTGATGAGCGCGGTCCTGGCCTCGGTGCAACTGCGAACACGGCTGCAGGCGGGCGCCCGCTCCTCCCAGAGTCTCTGGAACCTGCTGCAGAGAGAAGAGGGGGCGCAGCTACCGGTGTCCGGGACCTGGGGGCGGGGGCTGGAGAGGAGCCTCAGGTGTCCGGGAGACTGGTTTGAGCCTTTCTCCCCCGTCTCCCGCAGTGCGCCCCCCCACCCCCGCGCCCCATTCTGGGGTTCCTGGGGGTCCTGCTGTTCTCCCGAGGGCGCGGGGGGATCACCTCTCCTGACCCCGGTCCTGCAGGGGAGGTGCCAGAAGGGCTATTTTAGGTGGTGCTGCCCCCCCCGCCAAGCCCAGGGCAGCGGCCGCGGAGCGCCGGGTTCCCGCCGGCTGGGGATGATGGGGCCGGGGCCGGCGGGGAGCGCGGGGGGGGGGGGGCGCGGGGTGGTCCCAGGGGCCGGCGGGGAGCGCGGGGGGGCGCGCGGGGTGGTCCCAGTGGCCGGCGGGGAGCGCGGGGGGGCGCGCGGGGTGGTCCCCGGGGCCGGCGGGGAGCGCGGGGGGGGGGGGCGCGGGGTGGTCCCAGGGGCCGGCGGGGAGCGCGTGGGGGGGCGCGGGGTGGTCCCCGGGGCCGGCGGGGAGCGCGGGGGGGCGCGGGGTGGTCCCCGGGGCCGGCGGGGAGCGCGGGGGGGCGCGGGGTGGTCCCCGGGGCCGGCGGGGAGCGCCGGGTTCCCGCCGGCTGGGGATGATGGGGCCGGGGCCGGCGGGGAGCGCGGGGGGGCGCGGGGTGGTCCCCGGGGCCGGCGGGGAGCGCGGGGGGGCGCGCGGGGTGGTCCCCGGGGCCGGCGGGGAGCGCGGGGGGGGCGCGGGGTGGTCCCCGGGGCCGGCGGGGAGCGCGGGGGGCGCGCGGGGTGGTCCCCGGGGCCGGCGGGGAGCGCGGGGGGGGCGCGGGGTGGTCCCCGGGACCGGCGGGGAGCGCGGGGGGGCGCGCGGGGTGGTCCCCGCAGGCGAGGACGTTCCCGGGCGGCGGCCTGCGTCACAGCGGGGCCGGGCGGCGGCGGCGGCGGCGGCGGCGACCCCGGGCCCGGGCGCTGGGCGGCGCTGGCTGCCGCGGGCCGGGCGGCGCGCGGGGCGGCGCTGGCGGCGGGAGGAGGGCTCTGCGGGGCCGGGCGGCAGCTGCGTCCCGGCTCGGAGCCCGCGAGGAGGACGAGGAGGGAGGCGCCGCCGTGGCCGCGGCCGCAGTGCTCGGGCGCCACCCGCCCTGAGCGGCGGCCCCGCCGACGACCCCGCCGCCGAGCCGGCCCGGGAGACCGCCCGCCGCTCCCCAGCGCCGTCCCCGCCGGCAGCCCGGCGCCCGGAGGTAAGGGCGGGGACCGCCGAGGGATGCTGGCGAGGGCGGCCCGCTAGGTGCGCGGGAGCCGCGGCCCCGCCCGCCCCCGCCCCCGGGGCCCCCCGCGGCCGGGGCTCGGGGACCCCCCGCGGGGCGCCCCAGGCTGGCGCCCAGCTCCGCGCGGCCGCCGCAGGTTCTGCGGACTTGGGGGGGCGGGGGGGTGGGGGGCCGGGGAGGAGGAGGGGGGACGAGGGGAGGAGGGGAGAGGCGGCCACCGCGCGGCGATCGTCCTTCTCCCCTACCTGCAGCCGCCCCGCGCCCCCACGGCCTGGCCCTTCTGGGGTGCCCTCCCCGTGTACCCCCGGGCCCCTGAAGTTAGCACTTTCGGGGAGCGAGGAAGCGGAGGGCCCCCGACGGGAGCGCGAGCGCGGCGCCTGCCCCCGGCGGGACCGGGGGAGCGAGGGTCAGGCGGGGCGGGCGGGCCCCGGGAGCCAGGTGTCCAGGCCGGCGGTGGAGGAGGGGACCGCCGCCCTCCGCCCAAACGCAGGCCGCCGCGCCTTCCCTTTGCAGCCGGTTCCCGGCAGCGAGGTGGCCGGGGATGGAGTTCGCGACTCCGGAGCCCTCGGACGTGCTCCCGGGACGCTGGTTCCTTTCTGGCCCCCCAGCGCCCCCCGCCCCAGCACCCCCCAGCGCCCCCCAGCATCCCCCAGCGCCCCCCAGCACCCCCCAGCACCCCCCCAGCACCCCCCAGCATCCCCCCCAGCACCCCCCCGCCCCGCGCCGGTGCGCAGCACCTCGCCGCGCCTTCCAAAGCCCGCGCGCACCCGGTCCTGAACAAGCCCAGGCACCTAGCCCACATCCCAGGACGGTTATTTCGGGGTGTGAAGACCACACTTCACTTGGTTTCAAATTCTTTTTAGACACTGGAAACTCAGCAAACCCGTTAGGGAAACACTTGCAAGTTTCCATCCTCCTTAAAGTAAAAAATAAGAACCAGTCCGTTGGGGGGGGGGGAGTGCCAGCGTTGGGCAAAGGCAGGCTGAGCGACCCTATTTATGACGGCTTTACGGGGGAGGAATAGATACAGGGAATGACAGTCCTGTTTGGTTCCCATGCTTCTTACTCTGTAAGAAGTGGAGCCCCAACCAAGGGGCACCTTTGCGGACAGGTATGGAGTGGTTTTGTAAGGCATCCATGAGCTTCTTCTGGACGAGTCAGTGAGATGCTGTCTAGATGGGAGAGGTGGCAAAGTGATGGTTACCCTCTTGCTTGGCCAAACACTGCAAAGTCTCCGGAACCAAGGAGCTTTATATGTGTATGCATTGTTTTCTTTATGTTTTAACGATTTGTGTGAACCCAGAATGTAAGTTGAACTTCCCCAGATTTGCTCAGATTCATAAGCCATGTGATGGATGTGTGGATAGAGATATCCCATCAGAGGTCTACAGCTCTAATCTGTGATATTTGTATTTCTTCTGACTTGCTTAATTAGGGAAGACCTAAGGTGTGACCCAGATTTTCCTTACTTTGGAGTGATTAATTTCAATACTGTCTGCTTTGTTTGTTTGCTCTTGAGGGGAGAGTTGGGGACCAGCTTTGCAAGGATGGGTATTTTTCATGGTTCACATAATGGATTGACCACAGATGGGTCCTATCAATTCAACAGTGTTATCAGAGATAGCAAGCATGTTTAACAATTTTCTTAGTAATACAATTATCCAAATCTTTGTTAATGGTACTAATCTTTTATTTCTCAGATTGACTAAGTACTTTGTTTAATGGAATGCTTTTACAAGGGAATGCTTTTAGTGAAAAGAATGTATGAGGGAGTGTAAAAGAATGAATAATTTTCCACTTATGTAAATTTTATCTTTTAAAAACAATACAAAGTTAGCAATTCTTAAAACGCCTAAGGTGCCTAGTTTTTACCAAACTGCTGGTATGATTTTCCAGTAGTCTGTAGTGTTTTCAAATTATAGTCACCAATAACGTTATAATAGAGCCCAAGTGTAAAAAAAAAAAAAAAAAACCCAGATGGGGTGGAAAGTTATACATATTTTGCCAAGCATTGTGTGGATGATTTAATATGGTAGGTACGTTGCTATAATATAGTCTAGCGCTCTAGGTACCTAACATACATTATATTCAGATTCGTACAACAAATGCTTAAAGTAGATGGTGCCACCTATGTTTTATAGAAGAATAGAGGGTCAGAGTTTGTGACTTGCCCAAGACAAGACAGCTAACTTAATGCCTGAATGAGGCCAAGTCTCTTTAACCTTAATGATGTACTTTTCTGATGTCCAAATCTGCCTTTCTGTTTTCTACAAAAATTTATTCTTAACTTGTTGTAATGACTGTATGCAGAAGCTGAGGTTGAAGAAGTAAAATCACCTGTCCAGGGTTTTCCATGTAACCAGTAGATAGCAGAATTCACATTTGGAATCGGGACCATCTATTTTCTAAACCGATGTTCTTGCCACTGATCTCTATTAAAGGACAGATTAAGAACTTAACCTAAGGGATCCCTGGGTGGCTCCGTAGTTTAGCACCTGCCTTCGGCCCAGGGCGTAATCCTGGAGACCCGGGATCGAGTCCCACGTCGGGCTCCCTGCAGGAAGCCTGCTTCTCCCTCTGCCTGCGTCTCTGCCTCTCTCTGTGTGTCTCTCATGAATAAATAAATAAAATCTTAAGAAAAAAAAAAGAACTTAACCTAATGGACATTTTTATTCTTTTTCGTCAACTCTTCTCATCCACATGACAGTGATGGTCTCATAGGCTGCAATACACTCTCAAGATTTTATACTCAGTCCCTGGAGTGCTGGCTGTATCTCTATCCTTAGATTACTGATGAAAGCATATTTGCAACCAACGAGGGTGACATTATTATGGAAGTATCCTTGAACCCACTCAGTTACTGTTAAAATATAAATCATGTTAGATTGGCTTGCGGGAAAGAGCATGACCTCAAGATGGGAAGGGCTGAGAACAAATTTTGGTTTTACTGTCCAGTAGGAGCATAAACTAATTCACGCTGTGCAACTTTCCCGAGTCCATTTCCTCATGTATACTTGAGTTAATAAAATCTACTTAGTTGGAGTATTATGCAGACCAAATGTAGCCGTATAAAGGATAGCTTCCTACCACCTACTAGGTGTTCAGTTAAGTGGTAGGGATTAGCACATCTGTATCCCAGCACTGATGGGAATTTCAGCTGTATTTTGCTGCATCTATATTTTACATCCATATAATGCTATTAGTCACTGCTATCAGTGATTAATTTTTCATATGGCTAGACAGAGATCTGATCTAATCTGGCCTCTAGCATCTTTAACTTTTGAATCACATCCTTTTTTTTGTAGTCCTTACTTACAAACATTTACTCACCTTATGTAGTTTTTCATTTGCTCCACTCTGCATGTTTTTTTTTTTTTTAGAACTTCACTAGCCATATTTCAGCGAGGTGGAATTTAATTTTTGGCAAACACACTTTCCTGTTTTCTGCTTCTCCTGATTTCTCAGCCTTGCTTATCACTCAAGGCACCATGACAATCCCACTATCTTCCCACCACATACCTCACCCTTGACCAGATCTCCACTAGCCAAAATTCTGCATGTCCTTCAAGGCCTAACCTAAATGGCCCCCTTCCTGTACCTCATACCTTCCATTTTAAATCCTTTCTCAGTTCACTTGTAATTCGGACACCATATACTCCTAATAATTAAAAAAAATTTTTTTTAAAGATTTTATTTATTTATTCATGAGAGACAGAGAGGCAGAGAGACACGGGCAGATGGAGAAGCAGGCTCCCTGCAGAGAGCCCTATTCAGGACTTGATCCCAGGACCCCAGGATCATGCCCTGAGCCAAAGGCAGACGCTCAACCACTGAGTGCCCCTAAAATAATGTTTTTTTTTTTTAACTTTTTAAGTTATTTGCCCAGATAATATCCTACAAAAGTCTGCACATTCTTTGAGGACAAGGGAATTTTTCTGTTTGTTTATATTTCCTGCTTTGTATAAAATACAAATGGTTTCTCATTTCTGAATGAAAGTTGAGTCAGATATTCTGAGAGAGAGCCTTATAGCCATTAGGAGAGATGCCTAAATCGTCTCTGTTACATGATTATTAGTGACACCTTCCTCTTTGAGACTTGTTTGTCCCAGCCATCTCCACCAATTTAACTGGTATTACATTTACTGGAAGGCATTTTTTTTTTTTTAAGGGAAGGAGAGTGGGGCACAGAGGGAGAGGGAGAGAGAATCTCAAGCAGACTCTGCAGAGCCTGACCTGGGGCTCAGTCTCACAACCCTGAGATCATGACCTGAGCCAAAATCAAAAGTTGGTTGCGTAACTGATGGAGTCACCCAGATGCCCCTGGAAGGCCATATTTCTTAAAGCCTTGGCCCTTCAGTACTAGGTAAGATAGCTATGTTTCATTAATAAATGGCTCCTGTGGTATAAGAATCTCATTAAGTTTGCAAAAGTATTGAACACATCAACAGTATTTGAGTAGTTTGGTATTTTCAATGGTCCAGATGAATTTCTTTAATTAGGAATAGGATTTACCTGAGGGAAAGGAATACCTGTCTTAGAGAGAAGGTTGAGGCAATGAGCAAGGAGGATTTCAAACCACTGTGGTTGGAAATAGGACTCACCATGACCGGGTGTGGAGTCTGCAACCGGAAGTGACCTTCATGAGAGAATCAGCACAGGGAAAAGATGTGAACAGTTTCACACAAGTATGAGAGGTGGAAAAAATGGAAGAGGTAACATAAATGAAGCATGATTATAATAGTATATGACTGAGGCCTGCTAAATATTGGTGTTCCTGGAGTATAGAAATAGGGAAGAGATTGTGAAGTAAGATTGGCAAGAGGAGAGGAACTGGTGTGGTATCAAACATCCAGTACCTCGGTATACTCCCATTTATCCACCAGGATGAACAGATAGACAAGAAGATAATCTCAGAGGTTTATTAGATAGTTTGGCAGGAATATATTTAAAGTTTACTAATTATTAAAAGTAGA